TAACTTAAATCACCATACTTTATCTTTTCTTTATATTGCTTTGAGCCTCATGATAAAAATGTTTCATTTGGTGTTTATTTCTTAGCTTTAAACATCTTGATATTGAAAATGAAACATGTTAAACTTATTGAATATATTTCCATTAACTTGTATTTCAAGACTTAATTGTATTGTGAAAAAATATTCATGAAACTTACTTTTCAATTGCAAATGTAGAATCATGTAAATTGTAATGACTTTAAATAAGGCAGTTAATGTCTAATACAAAGGAAATCATACGGCCTTTGTGGTCAATTCCTACGCACCAAAACTTCAAATCGGTGTAGCTGATGTGACCGATATTATTTCTTAAACAATTTTACTTGGAGACGTAGGACTTTCTGTTAGTCAAATCAATAGAAGTCAAGCTCTATTATCATGAACCCTTATGCTTACTGGATAGTATGATAGTTTTGTTACGTTGATCAAAATATTTACAAATCGCAGACACAAATAAACTAATACTTACCCTGTTTTCGGGTTCAACAGTTTTTTGAATACTGCTTCTTCACATGCTTGGAGGTCTAGTCCATCGAACTCGGTTATTTTCTCCCAGAAGAATTTTCGAATGTTTCTACTGCACTTCTTATTCATGAGAGTCTCATCATCACTCCCAGACAGCTTGCAGGCTTTAGCAAACTGTTTTACAAGTTTCTCATCCGCTCCTGGGCCATACGCCATTTTCCTTTTAAGTATTAAAGGTGAACTGACTACGGTGTAATGGCGTGGAACTGTTATCTGACAACCACTTGTATTTATAGTCATATATAATAACAAATTTCAGATTGGTCTAAGAAAAAATTCTAATGTATTCCTAAAAAGATCTATGTCTCATCAACGATCACGTATACATATACATACGCAAGTAAAACACACAACGTACACATAAAAGTAAGATTAAATAAAGCGATATCAATGCCAGCTCATTTTATATTATATAACTATCCTTTTTTACTTATTTGTCCGTACTTTCTGTTTGAAAATGATGAAAAAAACTTCATTCTAAAACAGTAAAGCAGAAGAATTAAAAAGATCTCAATTTACCTATTAAGTCACATTTGATCCATTGTTTAGAGAAAGGAACGCGACTACTAGCATTGTTCTATAACAATGTAATCGGTAACCCGAACGTTCATCAAATAATAGTTGGGTTTTTTTGGCAAATAATGTGTTAATTTGTCTGATTGAATAAATGTACATGTATATGTACAAGCATGACAGGTGTTTTATGACAGACTCAAACACGAGCTCATTTTTTATTTTATCCATAGCAACTTAAATGTATGTATGTAGGTACAATGTATGTCTTTGATCATAGTATATATCAGTGAAATATAGAAAAACAAAATCCCTAAAGAAAGCCGGAAACGACAAAAATGAAAAAGTTGCAGGCTCGGTTTGATTGAGCCTGATCATGGACGGCGAAGTCTGTTCTTAATTTATCTAGTTAGCCTACCTAACACGACCACTAATTATCCGAACAAAAGCGAATTACATAAACACCTTTAGGATCTTGGTCTGTTATACTGTTATATTATCAATGATCTATAAAGTTGAGGATCTTTGTCCTAGTCTGCCTCTGACTAGACATATCAGTAGTTAAACTATTCTTCATTCTTTTAAAACATTGACTGGTCAACATAGGTGTCTAAATCTGGTTTAGGATATTTCTATATTCATTTCATTTTTCCCTTACACATGAAATAAGTAAGGCGTCTGTGGCCGAGTGGTTAAGGTCGTTGACTTCGAATCACTTGCCCCTCACCGCTGTAGGTTAGAATCCCGACAGGGACATTGGATTCTTTCATGTGAGGAAGCTTTCCAGCTACCTTACGGAACGTCGGTGGTTCTACTCAGGTGACCGTTCTTGCCTGAAATAATGCACGGAAGGGCATCTGAGGTCTTCCTCCACCAGTAAAGCTGGAACGTCGCGATATGACCTATACTGTGTCGATGTGACGTAAAACCCAAAACAGACAAACAAACAAATGAAATAAGTATTATCCACCATTGCTTAGTTGGGTTTCGTCAATGCAATATAACTTAACACATCAAAGTTTTACCAATTTTGTATTTTATCAACATATAAAACCACGTGGAAAGAAATGTACATATGCTCATATTTAAATGGTAACGGTTGTAGAAATTATTCTGATCAAATATGATGCAAGTAATCAAAGAAAAATGTACCTGACAATAAGTCAATGGAACAGTTTTGCATTCGAATTATATATTTCAAGTTAACAAAGAAAAATATATTCTTATCAAATTTTTATAAAGTAAACATAACGAATGCATTTCAATCACATATATTTCACGTATAAGCAGCAAAAGGTAACGGATAAAAAAGACTTTCAATCATTTTAAATATCACCTGCAAAAAGCTATTTCAATCATATACATGTATATTCCAGCAGGGTCTTACAAATATTTGAGAGACCCTGATTCCAGTTACAAAAAAACAAACAACCAAAACACAAAAAAAACAATAAACACGTGTACCAATCAGATATATATGTATAGTTTATTTTAAGCTAAGGACATAAAAGTATTCAAATAAAGTTTAAGTGTGTTTAAAATAAACAAAACAAAATGTGTTCAAAATCAAATTTAGTCCATATCCCAGTTCAACTAAATGTCAAGCGACACAACATGAACAGTTCACGTTTCTATGCCTATTTACTTTCTACTTCATTAGAATAACAAGTTCGCCGCCGCTCAAATCACCATAAGCAAAATATTATGTTTTTGTTAATTAATGGCTGGAATCATATGTTCCTTGACCCTTATAACCACACACATAACCGGAGTCTTCTGGAACGTAATCATGTGCCTCTTTTCCCTTTCCTTTTCCATCCTTGTCAAAGCGTGCTTTGCTTGTCCCCGTGAATTTAGATGCATCTGTTAGACCCTTTACATTCCCTGTTGCTGATTCTTTCTATTAAAAGAAACAACTATGCTGTCTATGTTGGAAAACTAAGCTTACTTTTGAAATGTACTTTTCAAAAACATTTTAGGTACGTTTTAAGCAATCACAAAAGATTTTTAGTTTTAGGTCGGCATCTTGAACGAAGCAAAATAGCCTTTTCGAATATAAGTTAAAACAATAACTGTGTTCGTTGGATATCGCTTAAAGCTCCAACTTGTTAAAATTCAGCTGAATTTTAGAATGAAAAGATGGCTTGTATATAATATTCAAACGTATTTAAAAAGTAGATTTGACGTCAAATATACAAAATACTCACAATCTCATGCACATGGGGTTTTTCTTTGGTTATGCAGTTACAAATTGTTTTCTTTAGTGCAAGTACTTCGGGGTCTTTGTCATCGATCTTGTTGTTAGATGTTTTGCGTTTAGCAATTTCATGGGCGAATTTATTAACAAATTTCTCCACGTTATCTTTGTTGACCACCATGTGACTGAAATTATCAGAATAAGATGGGGTTGTTTTAGTCAAACAACGTTGTTTTCTGTGAGGGAATTGCTTTATGAAATAATTATAGAAAAGAGTAAGCCTTTTGTTTAAAGTTTAAACAAAATAGTCTCAAATGAATAAGAAAGTAAACGCAAAGTAGCAACAAGTCTGATTAAGTAATACTTGGGAAAAATATTACAATGATCATATCTAGCAAAATATTAACTTTTGCAGATAAAAAGGAAAGAGTTTTTTTTTTCAAAATAATAAAGCGTTTGTATAATTTTAACTGTTTTCCCACATGATATTGTTTGTGGAGAAAAAGTATTTGATACATTGCTTTGTGTCAAGAACATGAAGTTTGAAAAAATAGAAGATAAACGTTTTTAAAGAGACATTTGCTTTAAATGCTGAATATAAAGGGATAACAGTGAGGCTATTAACCTCTCTTTTAACAATTTTAAGACAGGACGAACGTTCCAGACCATAGATTCAAAAGACATACCACAAGAGGATCTTGAAAGTATGGTGGATATCAAAATGATGTAGTAGTGAAATGAAAGGCTAAAAGGTTATCAAGCGCCGTAATAAAAAGGAATGTGTGTACCCTGAGTTTCGCTAAACATTTTTCAATTTAGTAGTGTTGCCCTGTATGCTACTATCAACAACAAAGCCGTTAAAGCCTTTATGTATTGTTTCATAAATCATACTTAGTTACTTACGGTTTCCCGTGCTCTTTACAGTAGGGGAACACGCTGGCATCACATATGGCTTTCGCGTCATATTTTTTAAGATCTGAAAGGCAATCATCAACCAACTTGCCACTTGCCTTTGTTGTCATAATTTTGGGATCTTTTGACCCAGCTAGTGTGCAGAACTCCTCGAAATGATGTATGAGCTCATCTGTGACTTTGAAGTCATCATGATCGTTTCCATGGTGTTTACCCTTTAAGGCAGACATGTCAGGCAAACTATTTCTGAAATGAAATATATCATTCTTTCTGAATAGTGTTCTTTGCGTTTTTTCTTTCCCCTTGTCAGCTTGTTATGATGTATTGTCATTGAAAATTTTATGTGATATATCAAGTGATATATCTAAGCTCATTCTATATGGATCACCGTTGGTGAAAACCTGTAAAAGTGTGGAACCTTTTTTCATTAAATGATGTTCAATCAGTAATATGTAAAGATTTTTAACCAAAGAAAAGAAAATATGGAGTATTGGTCAGACTTGCGGTTGCAATTTTCGCTTTTAACGGACATTGAACGTGTACTTTACAAAGATGTGTCTGCATTTTTAACTAAGAACCATGTTAAAGTAATAAAACCGAAGAAATTTATCTTTATATATAGATATAAATAATATGTCAGATGTTATCATATATTTTGTGCTAGTAAATTGACTTAAGATGAAATAAATTATGAGAACAACGATAAACAGTGAACGCAGCACCCCCCCCCCCCCAACGAATCCAAGTACACAAAACAACCCAAATGGAACCCAGTCCGGCACCGAAAATACACAGGAGAGGCACAGATAAGTTAACATTTTGTACCAGTATGCTTAAAAAGTTGCCAATGAAGGAGCAAATATTGACTCACTTTTATTCTCCCTGTAATACATGCTGCACAGCTTCATGAAATCAAATAAATATAAATATATACAATAGATAGCACCTTTAAATACTTGTTGTTTAACATTATTATATGTAGATCCTTAAACAATACATTTTTCAAAACTCCAAACTCTAATGCACTGAGCTTTTCATTTTTTCAAACCTACCGTAACTGCTAACAGTATATGTACGAAATATATAATTTGCTTATCACCAGTTTATATTTTCAAGTTATAAGTTTTTTACGTTAAAATTTTATTTTATTTTAATATTAGGCTATTTTTCTCTCCATATATTCACATAATACACATGTATATACTTTAAATATAAACCATAATCCGTTTAATACATACATTTTCAAATTTGAATTCCTTCTATTGACATAGCACAATTAAATTTACATGTAAACAAGTGTGCGTATGAAACGCATTTTTAAACACATGTAGAGGTCTTACGTTACATTATATATTCAATTCTAATGAGCAATTATATAGATAAACTAAATAACATGTTGAAATGCGACACCCTATACGACAAGTCTTTCAATACATAAATCGATCAATGTTTTATGGCAAACAACCAGTAGGAAAAAACAATGTAGTGTACTTTTATTCATTATTGCAAATTTGTTTATGTCCGATTGCATTCCTTAAATATATATTTATCTGAGTTCTCTCTATGAACTGACTTGTATCTTTTGACTTGACTTCGTAGACTCGAACGCAGTGGGTTGAATTGTAGGCATTTAACCCCTGTGTCATCTGTCATGCAATATGTTTTTTGAATACCTTTGCATCATATATTATATATATATATATATATATATATATATATATATATATATATATATATATATATATATATATATATATATATATATATATATATATATTATACATAATGTACAGTCACTGTTCTAAAGATTAATGAATTATAAATTAAAATCGGATAATATTACCGGTCCTACCCCAGCCATTTTTTTCCATGTGATTAAAATTTATTTTTACAAATTATTTACAGCACAAAAAAGACGGAATAAACAATATTTTGCAAAACAAAAGTTTTAAAAGTAGTCATAAAAGCCTCGAGATTATCTGAATTTTAACTTATATTATAAAAAAAAGTTGGACAGAAAAACAATAAAACAATTTAATTTCGTACCAAATGAATTATATGACTTTGACTTTAAAAAAAGCATGTAAACATTTTTGAAAATAATGTCCATAACAAATTTAAAACGAATTTTAAGTCAAACTCTTTCTGTCTTGTGCCGTTAAGTGCGTGTAAATAAATAGATCACAGCGTTTGTAGTTTTCAAAATTACTTTATTGGCGACGCCGGTGAGCGGCGTCGACTCTTATGGAATGCTTTTTATTTTGGCCTATGGAAGGAGCTGTTATTATTAGCAGTTAATGTCATGTTGTGTTAACCAGTTTTATTTTGATTCGTAAAAATCAAGTAAACAAATATGTTGTTATATTTGTATTTAATAACTTTATGTAAAACGCATGTGCATTGTGATATTATTTCCACGAAATTGCAGGTTAAGTTTAACAGCTAGTCCCTTAGTTTTAACAATACCAAAACCCGGATTTCGAATATCGTTGTGGTCTACATTGATGCCGTATCCATTCATTCATTCATTTATATATTTTCAAAAATTTCCTACAAGAAGAAAGTTCACATGCAAATGAGTATAAGGATAGGTAATGGAACTGTTGTAAACGATTATCCTATTGATTTCATCCTTATTACGTTTATCTGTTGCGCAGAATGGTTGTTTTAACAAAGTGTACCGGTATCTGGATGTTGAAAGCTATCCGATGTTCTGCAATTACTGCTGCTGTCACATGGCCATCTATTCTTTTATGAATACTTTACCATTAATTTGCATGGCTTAAACTGAGCCTGCACCATTTCATAATTTTGCTGTTTAGGGTGTTCTTTTGGGTTTCAGGTTTTCTCTATTTTAAGGGGAAGTAACTCATGTTTACTAAATTATTTGTTCTTTTCTGTCTATCTTAGGTATTACTTATCAAACTATTTTTGTTGTATAAAATTTACCAGTTGTAAGGTCACCAAAAGCATGTTAATGTTAATGTTAGGATTTCATATTTATTTAATAGAAACTGGGAATTATTAATGTTATGTGCATACATGTATATCTTAGTGTATTGATATGATGAAACTTATAATATTTAAAGAGTTACAGTTATGTTATTTTTATTAAAGGGATGAGACTTTCATTTAAAGTTATAAATGATAATACATGTATTGACTGAAAATGTCCTTAAACTTGGATCAAGCAATATAATTAATAAAGTCTCAAAAAATCATATTCTGAATAGAACTTATTCTAATTTTAACATAATAACATGTGCATAGTTTGAAAAGGACAGCTTCTGTCTTATCTATTTGTAATGGAGGGACACCGGTCTCAACCTCCAGGTCTCCTGAGTCAACCCGACAACAGACTTTACATAGAGTAGATTGTTACTTGCCCTTGAATAAATTTGTGCACTAAATTTATAGTGGGTGATTTGTGCCACATGAAAACCAACATATTACAACAAGTAATTGGGTGCCAGATGAAAACATGTACATACAATCTTCCACAAAGTGGTTCGTTTGTTGCATTTTCATGTTTTGCCCTGGATGCAAAATACAAATCTAGCTTTATAAAATTTCTAATCATAGAAAAAAGGTTAGTTTTTTATCTGTACAAAAAATAGATATTGTACATGTATTAGCACAGTTATGTTCACTTTAAAATTAACTTGTTATAAATAATGACACAACCAATAACTGCCTCAGCCCTTTTTAGTAAAAATAGTTATTGTATACAATAATATATAAATTATTTTAATTAAGACAATGAGTATGTAAGGTTTTTTTTATTTATTAATTAAGAACTAATTATCTGTTAATTTAAAAATCTAAAAGTAGCTGTCACAGTTTAGAACTGTTCACTATGAAGGGGAGAATGTGTAAGTGGTCAGATAGCTTAATCGCTACAGCCGCGGTACATTATTCTGTGGATCACAGGTTCGAGTTCTGGTCAATCTGAAAGTTTTTCTCATCCTGTGACAGCATATAAAATAAGTTCAATTCACTCTGCTCTGTAAACATAAGAAATTCAAGGAAGTGGGGAAATATGTTGTGGTTTAGAACTGTTCATTATTAAAGAGAAAATGTGTAGCCGGCCGGATAGCTCAGTTGGTCTTCTGAAAGTCATGGGTTCGAGTCATGGTCAGGCAGTTTCAGTCAGGGTTTAGAAGTGGTTTTTCAACTGACACAATTCATGTTTGATTCATTTAACAGATTGCATTAAATTTGAAATGGACAAAGGCAGTATTGCATGATACTTTTAGATCTACAAAGGGCATTTGATACAGTTGATCACACTATACTGCACATGAAGAAGCTCTTTTTCTTCTTCTTCATGAAACTTCAAGCATCTGCCATATGTAATGACATTCTTACATGGTTTAAGTCTTATCTCTGATAGACAGCAGCTGGTGGATGTGGCTGGTACCCATTCTACTACTGCTCTGAGTACCTATGGTGTCCCCCTGATGTTCATTTTAGGTCCTCTTTTATGTCTAATACATGTCAATGGCATGTCTGCAACCCTAAGCAATAAGCTTTTATTATATGCACAGGCACGAGTATCAGATCTGGGACCAGATTGATAAAAAATCATCTCAAAAGTGTCAAAAACCAAAATAAAATGTAAATAATGACCCCCATTAAAAATATACTTTAAGTTAATTATTCTAAGTATATTTTTAAAGGGTCATTATTTACATTTTTTTTTGGTTTTTATGAACACAGTTTTTTTTATCAATCTAGTCATATTTTTTCTTCCCAGGTCCGATACTGGTGCCTGTGATTATATGCTGATGACTCAGGAATCCTTGTGTCTGGTAAAATAAATCTGAAGAAATTCTTTCTTATTATAAGTATGAGTCTTATAAGATTGGTTAATTGACTATAAATTGTCTTTGAATCTTGGCAAGACAGAGTCTATTCTTTTTGGTTTAAGTTTCAATTTAAACTGGGCCTAGCCTCCAGGTCACATGTAATGGTACTGCTATAAAGTACACATCTTTTGTAGTATTTAGGTGCAAACCTGGATCAAATTCTTTTGGCGTCGCCCTTTGATGCTTTGCGTCAATGCTTTTCTTGTTAATTATTGGAAAACTTGTAAAATGTTTTCATTTATATGTACTAGGAGAAGAATTAGTCAATATCAACTGCAGCTTTCCCATGAAGACGAAACAAATGAAAAAAATATGTATATATTGCTTTTGTGTAAATGACAAGGAAAACGTTAGTGGGATTGATAGAAATAGTAGAAATGCCAGTCTTGAAAATGATAATCAGCTATTTCAAAGACCAAACAAGTCTATCATTGTAAGTATTCATCGCACAGTCCAATGGTTTGTGCCTTTCATTCTAGGCAAGTAAGTTGTTATTGATTGCTATATGTTCCTTCTCTTTTGTAGTTGTCGCCGTAATCCGTGTTTTAAACAATATCTTTCAGGTCAGCTATGTCCTGGACTTTGCCACTCTCATCAAAACGTTCTTTGTGTGAGCCAGTGTAATGGGATGTATCCGTAAGACCAACGACATTTCCAGTCAATCATTCATTCTGAAATAAAACAAGTTAAATTAAGAGTGAGACTAGAAAATGTGTTGGGTTACCACAATAAATACTGTATACCGGACAAGACGCTTGAATGATGCCGAAATGCACTTCAATACGTTCACACCAATTTATATACGATAATGAATAAAAAAATTTGAAAAAATCGGCGAGAAAAGCGCTCTTTTTCTGCTTTGCGATCATGATTTCTACAAGTGTCTAAAGTCTGTAGTGAGTTAAATGTTTAAATGTTTAACTTTTGCAACATGTTCACTGCCAAACCTTGCGGATTATCAGTGCATCTTGATATCATAATGTAAATTTTTAAATGGAAGCAGTTTGACAGCTTATGTTTGTACTATAATTTCATAATATTTCAACATCAATAACTGGATTTATATAATATTGTTTTTCAGTTTTGTTTGCATGTGACATCTTTAATGTCTATACATTTTGATGTACTGAGACAGAGAGTAAATATCAATAATCATTTCATTTCTAATCGAATATTTTTGCAGTTTCTACAGCATTTTTCAAAACAATTTTTATTGATGCAAGGTCAATTAAAGAATATATTAATTCTACAGTAGCTTTATTAATTTCATTTACCTTTGCTACAACTACTGATTCCTGAAAATCTTGATTTGTATACATTATGCTAAACACTTAACATTC